AATAACTAATTTAAACATAAAATTCATTGATGTGTTGTAAAGAGTGATTGAGGGCTTTTAACTTGAGGGAATGAACCTCTGAAACACACTGAACACACAGAGGGAAAGATGATGCATTTTTTTTTTTCTGTCATCATGTGCTTGGTAAAGTGATTCAGTGGTTGCACTGCTGTGGTCAACAAGCCCGTGCACGTTGTTCAGTTCAATAGAACGCCTAAGCTTTTTGTTTTTCAGACCTATGAGCTTCTCCCAGGTGGCGGCCTTGTTGCCCTCCATACTGAGCAGCCGTTCCCACGTCTGCGGCTCCTTAAGTTTCATTCGCTGCCCAGCTCTCTCCCTGTCCCACACGCCTTTCATTCCACTGTGTGTGAATGCCTTCACATCAGCTGGATACCTGATAACAACAAAAAACACTGCATTTTTATATGCACCTGATTTCTACCTTCATTTCTCTAAAGAATAAATATCAAAGAGGGTCAAAACAGGAACTGCAACAAAAATGTGCTGCATTTTACAAAGAATTGAGTACAAATTCATTTCTCTGAGACATACCGGCTATCTTATAAATTAGAAAGGATAATGCACCTCTAGTGCAAAAAAAATGAAAACACTGCATACATTTATATTTTTAGCGAGACTTTAACTTCCTATCTCCAGCATTTATAGCCAGTACAGAAAGATTTTAATAAATGGTTCTTGAACAGATATGGTGACAAGCATCTGTAAACATACAACTAAACAGATACAAGGTGTCAATCACCAGAAAAAAATTAGGACTTGTGGACGAAGCATAATTAAACAGCATGAGAATTACATGTTTTTGTTTTTGTTTTTTAATGTGCTTATGCAACGTGAAAGGAAACAAATCTGCAGGTCTTACTTTTTTCCCAGGATGGCCATAACGTGTTCAGCCGGTTCTTTGATGTGAAGCCTCTTAATCATCTTCTTTATGCTGAACTCGCTCTGCTTCTTATCCACCACCTTTAACCGCAACTGCATCCAATCACAGACACAAATAAAGCAGCCATAGCCGACGTTTAAACAAAAGTAGAAACGGCTCTTCAAGAGAACAAAAGCAGCAACAAAAATGATGAATGAGTCATTCATTTTTTCAGTTGTTTAGCAGGAACTTTTTCAACTCAATCTGCACTAAATGATCTCACAACCTTGTCCTTTCTTTTTATATGAACCATTTTAGCACTTTTCCCTTTAGGTCAGAAAAGAGTTTGCTTAATCTATGAGATCCATTGCGTTTATGATTAAGCCCATTGCACAGAAGCTTGCAGCAGGAGGTGCACATCCAACCGTGCTCAGTAAAGACATGTAGAAAATTGACATAAACAGCAAAATATAATTATTTACATGACAAAACTAAGCACATTTTATTTTACTTTTCACAAATACAGTATTGATAATTCTGATAGCAGTCAGGTGACTCTTCCCCTGCTGCTGGCTTCACTCATAAAATCATAAAGGTGCACACTACTGGAAGGCCAGAAGCTGCAGTTTCTTAGTAGTTAGGAGATTTTCATGATATGAACAACTCATACTCTCTATGAAACAAGTTGTTTTAGCTCTTCTCATTTGAAGTCAACTTTTTCCTGATTGGTCGTCTGTCAAAAACTGGTTTGAACAGCAGGTGTGTGGAGCTTTTGTGCTCAAGGCAAAAGGCGGGACAACTGCGTGCTAGCAAAGTATGCCTATTACAGTAGTTGGTGACATGAATCATTGTGTGATGCTCAAGATGATTTTCACTTTAAAATAACTCCATGGAAATTCTAAAGAGTTACGGCCCACCGTAGTGTTCCTCTCACTGGATTGTGTTTGGGGGGTTCGGTTGAAGCATGACTCATAAGAATGGATAATTGTTTGGTTTAGGAAGGAAGAGTGAGCCACCGGCACAGGAGAGACAGAAATATGGATTAAGTAACTTTTCCCTTGTGCTAGTTTATTTTCTAGTGAATGAATGAATCTGTATTTTGTTTTAATTAATTGTTTTATACACACAAAACTCCATATACATATTTCTATATACACAGTTACTCTTGAAAAAGCAGGATGTTGTCTCCTCAAAAGTGTAGCCTTTTCTGCTAGTCACTGAAACACAAGCACTATGACTTAAATATAAAACATTAAGAGAAAATAAAGTTCTGGGCCTCACTAATTAGTAAAGCCTGGTTATATCCTTGTATATATGACAGGAAATAAGAACCAGCATAAAAGGTCTATTTTAAGAAAGTACTTCATTAAACAGTAACTAAAAAAAATAGAAAGACAGAAAGGAACTGAAAGTAAGCGCCTTATTTAGTGACACAACAGTAAAGTGTATTGACTTACAAAGTTCTTCAGAATTGATGTATTTGATCTGATCAAGTCCGCCCACTCCTTCATCTGTGTATCGGTTGGCTTCTGGAAGTCACAGATGCCATAATAAGTGTGGTCAGATACAGATATTTAAAGCATGTATGTATAAGAAATGAATTTAGAGTCAGCTACACAAACACAGAAACCACAAGCAGATTTTTCTGGTTGAGTCAGTGAGGCAGAACTCAGTAAAAACAATAAAAGCAAAGTGTTCATCTCTAGTACTAAAGTTTTTTCCCCACTAAAGAGGTGGTGAAATTAGTATTACTTGGTTAGGCCTTAATCTCCACATTGAGACCTTAAACGTTTAGGAGAGAACATAATCAGTGAATGTGTACCTTTGCTTTGCGCTTGTTGCGGTTGTGCTTACAGCGGTGCTTGCGTGTGTTGTATTTGGCCAGCTGATACTCGCTGAACTGCTTGAACTTGTCAGCCATCGCCTTCTTCAGGCACATCGGCAGAGAGCGGCTGAAGCACTGGAAACATCAGATTGTAGTGTGAAGACAGACTTGGTACATCCAGATCGTCCAGACCATACAACAGATAATCATTATGACTTACTGTACTGTAGATTCTGACTATTTCCAGCCAATCAGACGGCAGCTGTACAGCAGCACAGAAGTATCTGCGGACATGTGGCTTGGTGGGCGGCAGGTTGGCAGCCAGAGCCAATAAGAAGTTCGCAGTGATCCGAATATTTAGCTTCTGTCGAGTGTAAAGTGCCACCTAGATTGGAGCAGACAGACCATATAATATATGATATACATGATTATGGCCCTGCTGTGTACCATTCATTAGCTGTGCTTACTCTCATGACGCACCACTTTAAATTGGTTATTTGAGAATACCTGATGTGTGTACATCAGGGCTGAAAAATTAAGCAAACACCAAAGTGGAAAAACCACCCAAAACTGCAGTTCCCTCAATGAGCCCTTCAGCCTGGCTCCAGAAGCAATTCACTCTCACTAAAAATGCTCAACTATTAGCATTAAAAAGTAGGTTCTGGTCTCTATGAGTAATTTCCTTCTTCATAACAACTCTAAGAGGGGTGATATTTTTTGTTGCTGTTGTTTTATAACTCGCTCGCTTTGATAGAGTTAGGGACGTGGCTAATTTAATCGACAGGCAGCTAAAACTGATTGTGCTATCCCTGACTTCTCATATGAGTGATTAAACTGGATTTTCTACTGTTTTTACCCTGTTGGACCCTTTGGGAAATTTTTTATGGCTTATCTGATTAAAACACAACATGTGTTCAGTGGGTTCATAGTTCATCTTGACGATATATTGGTAAGACTTACAGTTAGGTATGCAAACACAGACAGCTATAGCTGACTGCCATCTTCTAAGTCTTATCTCTGCTAACTTAAGCCACTGAACTGGACTGCTCTACCGTGTTTTGCTGCTGGAACTTTGAGCATTGTTAATCACATTATCTCACTAATAATACGGCTTGTTCAGCAAAGCTGAAAGGAGAAGAAGTGGTCAAGGTAGATGAGTTTAAATACCTGACTTTAACCATCCAAAGCAATGTACAGTGCACAAGAGAGGTGAAGAAGAGAGTGCAGGCAGTGTGGAGTAGGTGGAGAGATGAGTGTTAGGAGTCGTTTGTGTCAATAGGATAGCAGCAAGAGTTAAAGGTAAGATTTATAAGATGGCAGTGAGACCCACTATGATGTATGGTTTGGAGTCTGTGGCACTGACAAAAAGACAGGAGGAGTGACCGGGATGGACAGGATTAGAGATGAGTATATCAGCTGAGCTGAGTAATTTGGAGACAAAGTTAGAGAAGCAAAGCTGAGATAGTCTGGACGTGAGGAAGAGGGATAGCAGATACAGTGTACCAAGGATGTGCAATAAGCAGCTGCTGTAAGATTTGTGAATGATGTGAAGCAGGACATGCAGGACATGGGCTGGTGTGACTGAGGGGGATGCTAGAGACAGGGTGAGATGGAGGCAGATGATCTGGTGTAGGAGGAGGATATTTCTTTTTCAGTTTTGATCAGTGTGATTTTAGCATCTGAATGCTAACAGTACAGTCTTATCTGTACAGTTTTTGGATGCAGCTTGCAAACCAGGTTGTTACCTTTAGTTGGTAACTCAATGCTCTATCCTGTTGCCCAAATGGGATCATTTCTGGCTCTAAATAGTTAGCATGAGTACAGTGAAATAGTCTATGAAAATATTCTGAACATCCAAGAAAGTAAAGCTCTTGTTACATGTTGGGCACACCTTAATGCAAACTGACAATTTGCATGTTGGAAGCTGTGTGACCTTGTGATAAACCATATTATTTTTTTTATCCTGGGTTGAACTAAAGACATTTGTAAATTCAACCAACAATACAGGCTTGTGGGAATTAATTGGTCTGGAAAGTCTTTGCAGATCTCCTCATGACCTACATGAGGAGACTGTAAAAGAGTTAGCTAATTTGCATGTAGCTAGTAATGCACTCCATTATAACAACACAATTGTGCAGGCAATATTTTCCTGAAACAGAGCAATAATTTAATATTGTCTGTGATATATACAGTCATAGTAGATTTATCCCATTGTCACATGGTGTTGAGTGTTTATCTGTTTTGTTTTTTTTTATTTGCTTTTCTACCATATTGACATGATAATGGAGTCCTGGTGGAGTTAAAATATTAAAAATTTAGTTCCCATGCATACCTTCAGAAGAAACTGTGGATCATAGGCAGAAATATCCTTTGCCAGGTTTGTGATTCTGGTCCAAACACTGTCCTCTGAGTCCCAGTCCTTCTGGCCTGGAGCTGTGCTCTCATTGACCAGAGAGCAACACACAATGTTCAAGAGGAAATACTGAAGGACAGACAAAGACAAGGAGTCACTTTAATCAGCACCCAGGAGTTCAATTAGGGAGCACCGGTCTACAGAAATGTAAACTTGGCGACACCAACACAAATAAATTATTCTCTATAACCTTTTTGTCTTTCAGCTCCTCTTCGGCCTTCTCGTTTCCTCTTTCGACCTCTCCAAATTCCTCCTGTCTGACAACCTCAGTTTGTTCAAGTTCTTGTTCCATCAACTCTGTTTCCAGTACAGGCAAGTCCATAGTTTTCTCAGCATCAATTTCTTCAGCCTCATTATCTTCATCCTCAGAAATCTGCTTGTGCAGAACAAATTAAATTAAAAATGACATGCAACAAAAGTTTTAATAAAAGTTGATGTGTTATGATTTTATGTTTAAAGAGGAATGAGGAATATTTCATGTACCACACTTGTTTCTTCAAAACTGAAAGGCATCACTTCAGATATCTCATATCTATCATCTGGATCCCATCCATCATCCCTTTTCTCGTCTTTACTCATGAGATCATGGTGGAAGAATGAAGGAGTTTGAGCAAAGTTAGTGAGTAGAGCACCACTGGCCAGGGATGTGGGGAGCAAAGAGTCATTAGGGACTGAGGAGGTCAAGGAAAAAGAATGATGAGATAAGTTACTGTCTAGGAGCTTGTTCTGGGTGCTTAGGAGGGGAGAAGTGAAGGAGGCTGCAAAGGAAGAAGTGGAGAGAAGGGAGGATGAGGTGGAAGATAGTTTGGAGGGTTGGAGAGAGGAGCAAGAGGAAGGCTGTCCTGCAAAATCTATGAGTGGGGAGGAAAGCTGGGGCATTACTGTGGAGGTTTGAGCTAAGAACTTATTCTCCAGACTTGGGGGAGAATAATTTGAAGTCAAACTTCTCCCACATGTTGCCTGCTGCTGCTTCTGCACTCCTGGGGCCAGGCTTGCTGACTGCAAAGTCAGAGCATTCATCTGCAGAAAAAGAGAGATCAGAATGTCAAAAAGCCACTCCTCTCCTCTCAGTCACAAGCCATATAATCCTAAAGAGCACAGAGTATTGAGTGGCAGGATTCCTTCTACTGTTTGAACAAGCACTGTTTTATTGTATCTAAGGGCGTGAACCATATTACAGGAACAAAGTCTAAAAACATGATGCCCAACAGACTGTAGATAGTGTCATTGGGAAACATACAGAATAATGCATGGATAACATGCAGAAATGCGAACAAATATAAATATGTCAAATATAAATCCAAATATAAAGGGGCCTTGAAGCAGACCGCAAACGCAGCTCGAAACTAAAGTAAAACTTGCTAAACTGACACATAATTGGGACAACGACGTTTAAACTTGGTGCGGTGCTCTCCAGGGTTTGTTTTGGATTAAAAAACAAAAACAAAAACAAAAAAAACAAAAACAACAACTCATGTTATGTAATCGATTTGACAATTATCCATGCGTAAACAACAAGAATAAGGGCAGTAAAATTACCCACCAAAGTCAGAAATAAAACAAACACTGATATAAGTTATACGGAAAGAACATTAGCTGCAATGAATGAACTGTCAAATGCAAACACAGCACAACATTTTCAGCTGAATTCAATATGGGAGCAAATGTTTCGTTCTTTGCAGTGACTCGAGTTTTCATAGGCGTGGTTAGCTACAAGGACGATTGCTAGACACAGGAAACTCACCGCAAAACCCACAATTTCAACTCCGTGGGTAGAGAGTTTGATATACAACGTTTCCGTCAGACGTTATTTTCTGTTTCGAAGCCCCTTCAAGTCAAGAGTATCCACTGATTTCCTGTAAACGGCTGTCATACAAACACCTGTCCTGTCAGCCGGCTATCAAAAGACCAGTGATTGGTCAGAATACTGTGTTCGTAATACGAGTTTTTTTTTTTTTTTTACCGTAATACCGGACATATGTGTGTCGACCAGAAAAGAACAACTGTCACGCGCAATAAATTCATATATATTTATTTGAAAAAGATAACAATCTTAGATAAACAAATAACACCATAAAACATATCTAAGCTGTTTAATGTTCAAATAATAATAAAGTTATTATGGATGATGAAGTTACCGTAAATGCCGGACTGAGGCGCAAAGAGGAAACGCAAACGCTCTATTTCCGCTGCAGCAGCCAGAACGGGTACATCAAAAAAGAAAGGAAAATGTGGATAGTGAGGACGAACTGAGGCCGGAGGAGACACGTCGAACTTCAACTACTCCTTTCACAAGGCCACGTTACTGGGCAGTTGGGATAATTTAAACTGTCCATCCGAGTATTTTACCATATTACGGATTGTTTCGAAGTTAATCCGTCCACCTCATTCTGTGGTAGTTTGTTTTGAGGAAGCAGCGCGGCTAGCCAGCTCAATTAGCCTACCAGAGATGGGGACGAGAACGAGTCGCCTACACGAAGACACGGTTTCCTCAGCTTTCGGGAAAGATGGGACAAAGCGGGATTCCTGTCGGCGACCTCGCTGCACGAGGCCCACCAGCCTCGTTGTCGACTTTTCGGTGAGCTTCGATGACACTGAGGCTAACCGAAGCCGATCGGAGGAGGGTAGTGATTCGGACCCGGGGCAGCTCGGAGCGAGCGCGGACGGCAGCCCCGCTGACCACCACAGCATCCCCTCTAGCATTGGCCAGGCGTCACCCGGGGACGACGACAACAGCGAGGGGAAACCCGAGGAAGACGGCAATGTTAGCCCAGAGGCTCCCGTCGACGCAGAACACCAGCAGGTTGAGGAGACAGGCCGCACACCACACCGCACCTTTTCCGAGCGGCTGCCCGGGAATCGGCACTCTGCCGCCCGTGTTGGCGCAAGGTCCGCCCGTGTTCGAAGCACACACCAGCGGCCGGTGTCAGAGGCTTGGATCGGCCTTTACCGTTTGAACAATCGCCACGGCAGTAAGTTAACATCTAAACAGCACCAGATATATATGTATATATATATTTTTAAAAATACAATCTGTAGCATTTGCGCCACATAAATGACATTTCCTTAGTAACGGGGCTGGTCTGCACCAGTAATTGTGGTTTGGGCTCGTTTTTAGATGCCAGGAACGCTTGCATACAGCTAGGCGTTTTTCCACAGAAGCTACATAAAATCCATGGATGTGTTGGAGCTTGAAGATGACGGGAAAAGATTGCGCAATACCTGAGGAGAAGGGGAAAAAATGTGGGGGTTGACTGTGCTTTCATTAGACAGCTGATGTTAATCTGAAGTCAGACAAAATAATAACACAGGGCTATTAAAACCTTGACTAAGAGAAAAATGCAACTGTTGCATCCTTAAGTAAAAGACATGTTTTTTGGATATAACGACATCATAAATGCCACAGTGCAACCCTCAATCAAGCCAGTCTGGAATTAAATGGATTTGCTGAGGAATTTACATTCTTGGACAGATAATCTTTTTTTTTTTTTTTTAAACCCCTGCTCGCATGCTGACTAAAATAATCAGAGGACCTATTGTATGAAGCAGACCTGTGGCATAAAACTGGAAGTGATGATATACAAGTCCATTCAGTTCACAAGGCCTGTTGACAGTGGCTGTCTGTGGTAAATTCTGCAGCATGAAAGTCTTAAGCAACAAACTGCCTTTTTTTTAAAAAAGGAAAAAAAAGAACTTGCATTAAAATTGGAGCATTAGTGTGCAGAGGAAGCCAAAAAAATTGCACTTGTCTCGGCCTGCATTAGATAATCAGATGAATAGAGATGGTGGAGATGTGACGGCAAGCGTGACATTTTGAGCCAACACAGAGCAGTGTGGTGGATTTCCCAGGCCAGCCCTCTAGCAAGTGTAGGGAAATGGGTCACAACTGCACATGCCTGCTCACTGCTGGCAGCGAATCATAGATGGAGGAGGCAAATGTAGGGCAGCGAGGCACTGTTTCTGCCTGGCTGTCCTATCTACGAATGGCTCGAGCAGTGGCCATCCCTCAAGACTGAGTCAGTGTTTTGAGCAGTGAGTACAGTCAAATAACGCTATTTCAGGTCAGTTACACTCAGGGCAACATCTTTCTCACCATCTCAGGCATGGGAACGCCTCATTTAGCATGTGTGTTTCAGGCTGCTCTTTGGTTTGCGGTTTCAGCTTGTGCAACCTAGATGTCCAAACACAGCACTTGTGCTCAGCGCGCATCATCTATCATTTATATCGCGCTGTAACACACCGTGTTAATCTTGGGTCTGTTGTGTCTGTGCCCTCTGCAGATATCCGCTGTCCTTTCTGCTCAAAGCCTTTCCCGGGGGGTCGGATTGAGGATCACCTGTTGAGTTGCCTCACATCTCCTCCTCTACCTTACAACAGTAAGTATCGTGGCACTAAAATACTCCTACAGCTGTGTTTATTAAAAGGCTGGTGACTTAATGTCAGGGTTTTTTCCTATGCATAAAAAAAACCATTCTGGCACTCATCAAAGTGCCTTTTGAACTTCCCAGAAGAGAAGATCACAAAGTCTCTGACAAAAATATGAGCAACACTTTATTTTTAAGTAGGCTCTAATTTAATCAAGTCAAAAAAGACATCAAACTGAACGTAATAAGAGGAAAATTCAGACTTCTGTAGACTCATTGCCTTTGCTATATATGGACTGGTTACATGCATTGCCATTCCCCAGAGGGCCATTTTTAGCCTGGAAAAACCCTGATTGTTGATTTGTGTGTTTGTGCATTTACAGCGGATGTGCTCAGTAAAGACAGTGGCGAGTGTTCCATCTGTTTGGAGGATTTGGTACAGGGAGAGACCATCGCCAGACTGGCCTGCCTCTGCGTCTACCACAAGAGGTATGGATGAAATTTAAAATAAAATATAGGGCAGATAAGCTTGTTTCTTCGCTTGGGACAAAACGTGACATTAAAAGTAAACTCACTGGGCAAATGTGGTGGTTTCCAGAGCTGACATCTATCTGAAACAAGGACGCAAAAGTTGTTCTGTACTAGTGTGTATCGTATATAGAGCTACACTTTTCTGAGAATTACAGATCGGTTGCTCATGTCCCAGATAGGATGTGCCAGACTCAACTCTGTAATCTTTGCTAAAGTGATGGGATCGGGAAGCCTTGTTTTGAAATTTGAGATAAAATGGATTAAAGCCAAACATGTGTTCACATTATTTTGACTTATTATTATGCGAATTTCCAGCTGTATGTTTTTAATTCATTTAAACTTTGGCCACGTTTAATAAGAGCATCCTCCATTATAAATATGTGACAGAAAAAAAGGGAAGACTTTAAATATTTTTCAGTAAGAGCTTTTACAACTGTGAAAACACATGCAGGATTATTGCATTTTAATTTGACACTCTTACACAAATACCAGATGTGAGCACAGAGTTTTCTAAGTGGCAATGACATTTCTAGGAAAAAACTAAATGACTATCAACTTTCATAATGTGTTTCAGCCCATTTGACATTTTTAAAACGTGCTGTAATGTTCAACGCTTTATTTTTTTGTAACTTCCAAGGAATTAATGACATTTCTAGGAGATTTTTTTTTACTGTGATCCTTTATGTTGTATGTTTCAGCCAATTTATTAAAAAGAAACAAAAAAAACCCCACATTGACAGATTAAAACAAACTGCAATGTTCATTACTTGATTTTTGCCCAGTTTCCAAGAAGCCACTGATTTCCCCTTAATCTCAGTACAGCCGATTTACCGAGATTAGGTAATCGATCACTCAAGATCCAGCCTGCTGTATTTTTGTAACTTTTAAAAAAATTACAGATAACATAATTAGTTCTCCAAAAGTTGATTCTGTTCATCTGGACGTAGCGTTTTGAGTGGGACTTGTTTTGCTCCATAGTAAGGCAGGCCTTTTTGTGCATCACTAAAAGTAGAGCGCAGGACTAAAACCACTGTAAGCACAGTCATGGACAGAGTCTGGTCAGTGCTCTGCGTGTGGCTCATTTGGTGAATAACAAATGTACATTAGTTGTACAGATTGCAAGTTTTGCAGTTTTATGAATGTTTACGTGCACTGCTGCTGCCATCTCGGATTGTTAAGTCTGGGTCGGTGAGGCTGCTCCGACTTTCTAAGTTTGAAAATTTCTAACTTCAAATGGAACGCGCTGCTAGAGCCGGTTCCAAGCCGGGAGACGAATAGGATCACTAATCAGGTCTGAGGTATATGAGGACAATCTGCCATAATGTTGTTTTGTGTTTTACTAGCTACACTGCTAACAGACCCAAAATCATTGAATATTTCTACTGAATAAAGAAAGTCAGTCGGTTACTTATGTGAATACATTGTGTGTGTCTTATATAAAACTACTTGTATTGATTGAGTGTCTTATCAATCATTTTAAACAGTTTATACAAGACTATACAAGTATTTAATTTTTTACTGTTGATTAATCTTATACCGGTTTTCATTATTCAATGTGTTTACCCAACGCTCAATGCAATTACTTCATTTTGTTTTAGTAGTAGCATCACCCAAAACATTCAGTTTAATTATCCAAAAAAATGAGGGAGAAGGGAGCACAACCTAAAATCTCCTGCTGGTAAATGTTTTGCTTTAGCTGCTGCTCCCTTTTTTTCCTTTTTTTTATTTTTTTTTTTCCTTCCAGGCTCATTAAGTATCGACTGTTTGTCTCAGCTCCAGATTAGTGACTTAAAGCCAATAAAAATAAAAGTCATTACCATCTGAAAAACATGAGGAGAGGGCACGAGTTAAAAGTAAAGAGGCCATTAACTTAAGGGGGAAAAAACCTCCTAACAGACTTTTGCAACTCAAAACAAAAAGACAAAGGCAAACAGCCAAAAGAGGCCCCGAGGTCTTCGGGCGTCTTATCTCTGCTCCATTTAAATTCAGGGAGACAACGAGGCCTTAAAGGATTGACTGCTGAATGTTTACCCTTTTATTTTG